GATCACTAGTAGACATTGTAGCAGTGAGGTCTCTCACTCTACCCTTGCTAGGTCTCACTGAGTAGCTACTGCATGTTCACCTGCAGGTTACTAGGTTCGCTCTCTGACTCTAGACAAGTGCATGAGCTTGAATACCCCTTGAGAGTGGGTGCAGATTGCAACTGATCACCAAAGATCAGAAGTATCGAGTGACTCCTTAGGAATGAGGTTCTAGTGCAAGAACAGGGTTCTTAGAAACAAGGAGGAAGAGATTAGTCTTCTCCTGCTGTTCTGGCCCATTATATAGTCACAGAACTATAGTCTGGGGTACTACTACAAGGGATCCTGCTAAGCTAAACATAGGTGAAACACACTAGAGCTTAATCGCTGTGAGCCAGTTGATTGGTGAGCTAATGTTAGCACAGGTGAAATAGAAAACCTGAAACATGAGATGAAGTCTGGATTGCAAATACCAGAGTGAGTCTGATCATAAAAACGAAAAACTGCTAACCCTAGAATATGTCCAACAGACCTATGAACCATAAATATCATGTGATCATAAGAGAGACACTGAAACTGTAACACACTATATGATGCAATCACTATGTTGCATGCTCAGCCGGAGCTCCATTGGAGCCAGTTATATTTAGGCAGCCAATCATAGTATTTAGGACAAGGCATTTGATTTCAGCATGAACCAGTAGACAGCATGTGACTTGCTTAGGTAACTACTGTACAGTAGCATAGCAATTATATATAAGGACCAGGGTAGACGGGAGACAGACCTCAGTCTTATTCTCCTTCATTCACCATGACAATACACTTAGGCCTAACCAGCCACTTCATCATTTGTATCTGCACCAGCCCTTGACCTCGACTATGTCAGTAAGTACTTGGTTAACAGTCAGCCTGTGTGTTCATCATTGGCTCACCATCGTAGCTAAAGTCGTTTGACTTGTGGCCATCACCTTCAGGCACATTTGAGCTCCCATCCCAAAACCCTTTGAGGGCTGGAACTTTTAGAGTTGTCTATCTTAGTCATTGGCTTGCCGTGACAGGTCCAATATAGTGCAGTCTCATTTTCTGATTGAGCACCTTCTCAATCTGCATATGCTGAACCAGAACTAGGTCTTCATGCTTGAAGTCAAAGTCCTTGATCATATGCTTGTGGACTCTCTCAAAATGTCTCACTGCTTCTCTTCTAGCCTCATAGACTGCATTATGGATCCTGGTGACCTGTTCTCAACATTTTTGCAATGCTTCCACCTGACTTGCAATTAAGTCAGTAGTTGTTACCATTCCGACTGGTGCTGGAATCAAGTACATTGCTTTGACTATATCTAGCGATAAGACAGGATGGATGCCTATAACCATGAAGTAGGGTGAGCAACCCATGCATCTCCTAACTGTGACTCTCTCTGACCAGAATACTGAGCGTGTGACTTGACTCCATTTGTGCTCTTTCCTTTCGGCAGCTTTGAATAGGCCCTGCCTAATGTTAAAATGTGGTTGCTCGAATATTCCATTTGTGCATGGGTTGTAACCACTTATCCAAATATGCTTGATATGATATTTCCTTTCCAGATAGGTCACTGCCTTTATGAATGGTGCATCATTGTCTGTCACGATTTTCAATAGAGCTCCTCAGCGACAGAGTATATCTTCAAAAATCCAATCACCAAGTATTTTCACAGTTTCAGCTCAAAGCATTCAGAACTCTGAATAGTGGGTGAGTGAAAACCAACCCTGCACGATGTATTCAAAGCTGTTTGAGGGCAGCATATGCATTGTGTCGATATATTTCTTTGCAAAGATCAGAGCTGGTATCGCAACAGTCAGTGGTATGAGAATCTGACAAATCTGTCACTTACATATGGCATATGATGCAAGTCTTAATGAACCATGTGATGTTAGCTGTGATGTCAGCCCACCAAAAATGTTTGCGAATTAACAATCAGGTCAGAAAGATATCTCAGTGTCCTAACTCATCATGCGCTCCTGCAAGGACTCACAGTCAATTTTCTGGCAATATGACCAGCTTATGTGATCCTTGTCAACTCTTTTCATAGACATCTGTCTCACTTGAAGAAGTGTACTGCATACTTAAGCATCTGATCATATTGTTTGTCTGAGTAGTTGCCTGATCGCTGCAACATTTCTATCCAGTTAGTGATTAACATGATGAGATGGTCATTTCATCTGGCTCATGCAGATCATGGAACATCCTTATAGCTGATCAAACTCAGCTCTTGAATGTCTCGTGCAATTTCTGATTCTTCATTGTTTTGTGTTGCCAAGATTGACCTTGTACCTGCTCCTCCCCTGTTTTGAAAAATTGACCATCCTCAGTTGATGGTGTCTTACTTGAAAACTGTGCTCAGGGAAGTACCTGGTGCATGAAGCCATTCATACAATTCACCCAGTCATCAAAGTTTATATCCTTGACTGGCTCTGGTGACAGATCACCTGGCTGTCTCAGTCGACATGATAATCCATCTGGGCCGTGCATGACTCCCAGTATGTGGACTAGTCAGAAATGATACATGAGAATTGCGATGACCCAATGGTTGATGCTTGCACTTGATGTGATGTCTGAGTTCTGCAACATGCCCTTGATATACAGTGACCCACAAAACTGTTGATAAGATTGCTTACTTCGACTTGTATGGTAAATATCTCCTCAACGACTGGGCCAAATAAATGTCATAAGAGCTTATTTGAAAGCCTATTATCATGGCTTTCCAATGCAGCTTTGTTTATATTTTTAGTCTATTTTGATCCCAAGATATTTGATCCTCTTTGAGGGCCACTCTTATCAACAGTTTTGTGGCACATATTCAGGTTCTACAAAACTCATACTTTCAGTACTTGGTATAGCCTCCCTTTGCCTTCACAACTGCATCCACCCTCCTTGGCATACTTTCAATCAGATTCTGACACATTTCCTTACCAATAGCCTCCCATTCCTTCTTTACCCTTTCCCACAACTCAGTAATTCCCTTTGGTGGCTCCTGATACTCTGCAAGCTTCTTTTTGAGGTGACCCCACAAATTCTCTATGGGATTGAGATCTGGGGATTGAGAGGGCCATAGCATGGTGTTGAAATCATGGTCTTTGAACCAATCCTTGGCCTTCTTGCTGGTGTGCTTGGGGTCATTGTCTTGCTGAAACACCACATCCTCCACATTTTGCCTCAATCCTCCAGGCTATTCTGCAGCTCATCCTCCAAAATGCTGACATAAAGGTCTGCATCCACCTTTCATCAATATTGCAGGCATACCCACACCATCCCAGCCCATACAGCCCCACATCATCAAGGATCCACCTCCAAACTTCTGAGTCCCTTTCACCAACCTATCACTGAGGCTCTCCCCTGGCTTCTTCCACACCCATTTCCTTCCATCTGACCCCATCCTGTTAATCTTTGTCTTATCTGACCATATCACCCTTCTCCAGTCCTCTACAGTCCAATACTGGTGAGCCAAAGCGAAGTCCATCCTCTCCTTCCGATGCCTTGCAGAGAGTAAAGGCCTTTTTCACTTCACTACAGCCTTCATTCCTGCCTTCTTCAACCCTCTTCACACTGTCTCTGCATTGATAACCCTCTCAGTAATGTCTGCAAGAGCTCTGGCCACAGCAGGAGATGTGGTAGCCTTGCCAGTCTCAATGAGTCGAGTAGCATATAGTACTTGGCATCAACTTTGATAATGAGATTGCGAACACCGATCAAATAGACCTTGAGCGCTCGCAAAGCATGATATAGACTATTGTCACAGTATTCGACATGACAACTTTATTTTTGCATCCTTAAGTCCTTATGTGGCAACCACAAGTGGTTATCTGAGCACCAAGCTTCATAATGGTTTAACAAAGTGGATACTTGGACAAACAGCATAATACAACCACATATATTGCAGATATGGCTGTGTCTACCACATAACCCTCAAGCGCCCATGATTCAGCCACCCAGTCATGTGACTGACTAAAGGTTTAGCCTAAAAGGATTAGAACTGCCACATGGTGGGAAGCAGCACCAACTATATGGCTATCAATGGTAGCACCAATATTCAAATATGCCATATGACAGAATCTCATTGACCACTCAATAGTGGCACCACTTTGCCGCTCACATAGTGGCACCACTTTGTAGTAATTATCTCATTGGACAAACCATGGCCATTCTTAGATAGTTGCTATGGTGAAGCCCAGAACCATTACTGGTTCTGGCAATATGTTCACATGTATGTAGATACCTGAGATCTCACAGTAGCACAGTGCCAGGGGCCCTGCCCTATATGTATATAAGCACCTATGAGGAAGCTGGATACCCCCAGTTTCATTCAACTATTGTATGCGGCCTAACAGGCCATCACCTCCCTTGTGTGATTATAAGGCTAAGGGCCCTTTGAGCCCCATTTCCAGGCTGTATATCACTGCATGCCTTTCAGACCTACTCCCCTTGTGGCAGGTCCCTATTTTGGTTTTTGTGCAGGTCATTAGCGTGGCTAGCACCTTGCAGCCATTTCCTTGCCTTTTGGCAGGATCTATGATGTGCATGACATTTGAATGAAACTGCATGCATGCCTCCAGCTTTCTGCTACTGGTGTGATTTTTTGGTCCTAAACATGACCACCTTAAAGACTGTTTGATTTTTGAGTCAAGCGAAGAAGATCTAGAATTATTCGCTTATACTTTTTCAGCCCAAGAAACTCAGGTGTATGGGTGCACCTTTTTTGACACATTCATCATCAACTCTACCACTGTCAGCCTACCTCAAGACTTGGTAGCAGGCATCTTCACATAAGCCACTCCCTCACTAAGGACAGTGCAGCACATATGTATCTCGATATGGAACCAAGCAGCCCCCACATTCCTTTCTTACAGGGCAACTACATTCAAATAAGCCAACAGACAAGCCAGCTGTTCACCACCATGTGGATGAGTCTGAAGAGCATGAAGGTGACAGGAATAATCGCGAGCTGAACGTATTGGCTAAGACATGGTATGGTAAGCACATGGGCTCATATAGCCAGCTGTTTGATGTGACTCATGCTCACTCGCTCTTGGTGTATCTCTGTGACAGACATCAGCACAGCGAGACGAGGATTGGCTGCCATGCTACTCACCGTGAAATTCGGAATGTTGAGAGTAGATGCTAAGGGTGCTGTTCAATGTGCTGAGCCATGCCCATGACATGTCACTTCCCTAAATGGTCGTATGCTGTTCGAACAGCCTTGCTTTATAGAACCTTGACAAATGCCCATATGAGCATTGCGAGCCATGTCGGCAGCACTATGGATGCCTTCACCATGAACAGTGAGCAGATCTTCCATGGTGAGATCGATATGAAGGGGAACTGGGTGTAGCCGCTCAAGAGGAGGCAGGGCCAAACGTAGCATACCTGAATGAGCCAGTACAGGAAATATCACATCATTCCTACTAAAAATGTCTTGTTGCAACTCCGTAGTGAGAAAAAGATGGCATGGACAACACTAAAGCTGTTGCATCCTTCCGATTATAGGCATGTTTGCTCCAGGAGCATATCCGGAAAACGGTTGCTGCAGAGGTGCCAGATGGCTGGGAGGATGCGATGGAGGCAGCGGAAAGAGCGGCAGCAAGACAGGCAAAGAAGGCATGATATCACATCTTCGAGACCGCATAGAATGCGCAGGCATACGGTTGACGCAGATTAGATAAAAGAGGATGGCTTGGATACAATGAGTGATGGGAATGTTGCAATAGTTGGAGAGCGAGAGAAAGAAAGACAGATACTATCTCTCAGAACACCGCATTTCCGTTGACTGATGACACGAGTATGGAGATAGCATTAGCAGAACACAAATTGCAAGTGAAGTAACTTGGATGGACAACCCAACTACTGCGGAGTACCATTTTAGGATGTTTTCTGTGAAGACACCCATGTCATCTTCCTCAAATATCTGCAGCCTCTCCAGTTTCTGGTCACGCAACTTGTTTGGGCAGCATGCAACTGCCTTTTGGATAATCTACATGCAGTGCACAGATCTTTTGAGCAAAACACGAAGAGGGCAGACCAGAACGTACCTCGTTGGGTTTCCATTTCATTATGCCTTTGTATTTAAGCTCCTTCAGATTTCCCGGATACATCGTATGATGCCTGTAAATGATTTAATCCACCTTCTTCCCTGTCACCTTGACCTTTCGTGCATGTGACATGAATGTACATGAACATAAGAGACTACTGAGAAGCAAACGTACAACTGGGATCGAGTATGGGCTTATGCTTGCCCATCAGGACGATGGCGATGTGCTCGGCAAGTTTCTCCAGGATGTGGTTGAAAGCGTCAACATGGTGCTACACCCTGGCATAGATGAATGCAGTCCATGCATTGCTATTCAGTGAGGGACATGAAACTGGCAGAGAGATGGACAAATATTGCCAATGACCTGGGACATGGTCATTTAGTTGAACTACATATGTACAAGCTTCGGGAACAGTGCAGGAAATTATACATGATCTGCGGTAATGTGAGTGAATGCAACACACTAAAACTACATGTATGCACGGCTATGCAGTCAATGGGGAACAATATCTCTTGGTACGTGCATGACTTCAGGAAGCTGAATCCACACATCTTTCAACTGCATATCAGCATGGTCGTGGCAACGTTTCGTGCAGTTCTGACAAAGTGGTAACTCCCCACATGGCAGGTAATCCATGAGCTCGTGCAAGGACCAGATTACATCTCTTTCTTCCAAGAAGGCACCTTTCATCTTCAGCAGTTCTTCTATGCATGTCTCCTTCTGCAGACAATCATCTGCTGAATTGCATAAGAAGATGATTTCAGTGACCATCTTATTGACCTGCGACAGCCTCCATATTGCTCGGACAATTTCAGAACAGTCCACAGGTGGTATTTCATCGACAATCTCATTATAACCCTGTCAGAGCACACCGTTGATGATCTGTGCATCATCAAGGGTGCAGCAAAGATAGCATAGGATGGGCAGCACACTGAGGCATTTCACCTTGCATGCAATTTTAAGCACATGGGGAGCATCAGTTTTTTCAAACAACACCAGGCCATTGGTGTAGGTGGCTAGTCCCATGCTCTCCTGCCATTGTGTGAGATTGGATGTGAAAGCTTGCTGTGAGCATCGCAGGGTCGACTCGTACAGGATGTCAAAGCCCTCCTGGTAGCCAACTTCCATGATACCGGCAAGTCTTGCAAATTTCATGACATGCATGGTGTCAATATCACTGTATGTCTTATTAGTGTAAAGCATACATACATAGTTGTTGTTGTGAGATACGCACCGACCACAGTTGTACAAGCTGCTCAGGACCGCTTCAACATCCTGAGCAGGGTGCCAACTTTGGTGAGGATGAACATCGCTGTGAGCAAAGTTGAACCACCACCGACCAAAAGCATGTCGACATTCTAGGGTATGGTGACCTGAGATGCCATTTGATGAACAACGGTGACTGCCTGGACAGAGAGAAGTACTATAAGTGTCAGCACTGTATGCCACGACTTGTGTCATGTACCACAGGAACCGCTTGCTGAGATCACCGTAGTATACTGCTTCAGCCTTCAGTGCAGTGCATCAATTTCAATATGAGTGCAATGCAGGTGAAACAAGTCTGGAACATTCACAATAGCATGTATCCACCAGGAGCCAAGTGAACCGGGGATGCTGGGAAAACTGCATTCCTACACACACCATACACGGAGCCATGTCGCATCTACTGAAGATCATGCGCAACATCTCTGCGACTGTCGACAGAGTAGCAATTCACTCCCATCATGTCCATTAAGCCATAGCAAGATGTGCTGCTGAATACTGCATGCATGGGGAGAACAGTTGAGATAACATGAATTGCAATTGCGAGAACAGGAAACACGAAAGCTGCTTGAGTTTGTCTTGCAGGCTGGGTGACGCACCGTGCTCGAACTTGGACAGTGCAATTGCTTTGAATGGCTCCCCACTGAACTGTGTGACTCCTTCACATATTCACTGACTATGCCCAGACTGGATCGACAACAGCTGTACCAGCTGCTAACACGCGAGCTGCTCCTCCATCTGCTTGGGCTCTCTCATGTCTGTCTGTCTATCGTTACTGGTGCAATATGATGCTGTCCATGGAACTACTCCTTTACATTCAACATCATTTTTATGTACAATTCTCTTGTCACTCCTAATCATGGTAGAGCCATATGACAGCTAGTTTACGACCTGTGTAAAAAAACCACAATCCTGCAGCCATTGTGACATATATCAGAATATTCAGCTGATGGAATGATGTAAGATTAAGCAGTTTGCAATACAGGTAATTGCTCACCAGATTGTATTTTGAGGGCAATCCTGCTCTGCATGTTCTTCATTGAGGTTTAGATTAAAATTCTGCTCTTTACAGACCATTGATAAAATAAAACATACCAATCTCATTTTCAGAGACCCAGATGACCACTTTACCACGAGAGGCAATTGCAAGATACACTGTTTTCCCAGATGCTGCATGCCAAGACTACAGGTTGATACTCTTTAGTCATTTAAAATTGTTAAAATAAATTCATCTACACACCGCAATACCAGCCACATGATCAGCTACAACAAATTAGTTAGCGCTTTAAGGCCTCAAAGTATCAATCTTACCATCATGTTCAAGAGCCTGTAGCTCAGTAAGATCACTTATCCTCCATAACTTGACTTTACCTGCTTCATGACTCCCCACCAAAACCTCATCATCAAACATGAATGCACATGGTGATACATTATGCAACTCATGTTTGATCAGCGCAATAGATTCACTACTCTGCACTTGGTAGATCTGGAAGCCACACTGTGTCGGCACAGCTAACAATGGCTTATGGCTGGCCATGGACATGCAACCACTAAAGACATTAGCACTGGCAAATGTCAGCCATAATAGCATGAAAGACAACTTACATAGGCGCATCCATGTTTTGCGCTGACATCACAATTTCTGCCGTCTCAACGTTCCATATGCTGATGACCCATATTGAGTCTACATCATAATGTGGTATATTCACTTACAAAATCCCATGAGCCTCATACCCTATGATCAGGAAATGTGTCTTTGCCGATTTGTTGTGCCAATGCATAGAAATGATATCTGTACATTGCTCATCTAACAGTGCATTCAGCAGTCCCCAGCAGCTGAAAACCTGCCACATTCCTACACAGAGCATATGAGCAATGCAGAAGTGAGACAGTGGCAGGCCACATGCCCTGAGTATTAAGATGCCAGATGCATATATCAACTCCTGTTCCAGCCGCCAGCCATTCACCATTGGTATCAATTGCCATTGCAGAAATTGTGAACTCTCTCAGAATCAGACATTCACTGACAATAGCATCCTATAGAGCCTCCTGATAGCCGATCTTCAAGCTGAGCAAATGCCATGAGTCACCTCGGTGAAAGACAGATTCGCTAAAATTCCATCTTGATAAGTGCAGAGAAGTGTCGTCCTGATAGCCTGTACCCAGTGCATGGCCACCACGGAGCTGTGAAGGTAAGGCCCTTCAATGATCATGTAAAGTTCTCCGTCGCACGTTGTGAAGATAGCTAAGTCATTTCCTGATGCGATGGCTAGCATCTCGTCATCAGAGCTGTAGTCCAAATGACTAATGTTGTCACAGTATTAAGTGGCACCTTTCTTTTTGCACCATTAAAGTCCTCATTTGAGTGGTTATTCAGATGCCAACCTTCATATTGGTCTCGCAACGTGGATACTTGGACAAACAGCACAATGCCGCCATATACATCACGGACATGACTGTGTCTACCACATGACCACCAAGCACCCATGATTCAGCCACCCAGTCATGTGACACTGGCCACTTGCCCTATTCAGAAGTTGTCAGGCGTTGGTCACGTGACACCAGGTCACTTGCCCAGAAAGGAACCCATTGGACCATCAAGCTAGCAAGCACCCAATTCGCCACTCAAGATAGTGGCACCACTTTGCTGCCTAAACCAATAGGCAGATACCACAACAGAGGATCCCCCTACCAACCGGCATACAGTATAGCCAGGTACAGGATAGGCTAGATCTTCTCACAACCCTATCCAGATGAAGACTGATCGTCACACTCATTGTTCTGAGTTTGGACAGATCCTCTCATCTGATGTTGCAACCATTGTGATGTGCTCTGTTGGCCATCACCCATTGGCCCCTCAACAGTGGGCCCACTTACAGGCATTTATTTCATTGGATTAGATAGGATTACCTCGGCGTATCCACGGCCATTGTAGATAGTTGCTATGACGAAGTCCAGAACCATTACTGGTTCTGGCAATATGTTCACATGTAGGTATCTGAGGTCTCACAGTAGCACAGTGCCAGGGGCCCTGCCCTACATGTATATAAAGCCCATAAGGATCTAAGGGAGGACCTTAGATTCATTATTCTATTGCATGCGGCCTAACAAGCCAATTCACCCCTTTGTTGTGAGCATAAGGCTAAGGGCCCTTTGAGCCCCTTTTTCAGACTGCATACCACTGCGCGCATCCTCAGCCTAGCCCTTGTGGCAGGCTTTTTATGTGGGATCATTTGTGCAGGTCACAAAAGCAGACTTGCCCTTAATTGGGTTAAGTGCTTTGGTGCTTTGTGACATTATAATGAATCTCCATGCATGCCCCCAGCTTCCTGCTGCTGGTGTGATTTTTTGGTCCTAAACATGACCACCTTTAAACAAAACAGTTCAATTTTCAGCCAAGCGAAGAAGACCAAGAGTTATTCGCTTGTGCATTTTCAGCCCAGAGAAACTCAGGTGTAGGGCGCACCTTTTTTGACATCATACTCCATCATCACCTCTACCGCTGTCAGCCTACCTCAAGACTTGGTAGCAGGCACCTTCACGTAAGCCGCTCCCTCACCAGGACAGCACTGCAGCAACATTTGATCTTGGACACTTGTGCAGCCCCACCAACATTGCTTTCAAAATATGGGCAATATTTGCGAAAATACCACGAGTTATCGCTTATATAAAACACCTTGCGTCCGCAATGACATTAAACTATTACCTATCATTTATATATTATTTGTATAGGATTGGTCACCTATAGATATATATATAAAATATTCTGGATATCTAAAGACATGCTACTCCAAATCGACACAGTGATTGTCCACATATAAGATCTCCAAGAGCACGGCAGTCTTTGACTGTAAACTGCTGGCGAAAATAGATCTTTACTTAGCAGTTCACAATAGATAATTCAATTTTTAGGGTGTTATTTTGGCACACACAATGGGATATTGGGAACCCTTTTACCCAGAAGCGGTCTCAGAATTACTAGATATTGCGCAACAATTAGTAATTTATTTGCTATGGGATGCCTAAACCACCTTTTCCCCAAAAGTTATAAGGCTTTTTCTCCCACCCACCCTCCCTTACTTTTGTGCCCCCCAGTCTTGTTTTAACTCGCTCATGCCACGTCAGTTCCGGGAGGAACCTGGCAAGGGGGAGGTAATGTAGGATACAGCGAGCATGTACAAGCTTATCTGAAGACATGCGCATAAGAAGTGCAGCACTCAAAGATATATAGCGAGTACTGAGCGCATGTCCTATTCGAAGAGTCGAGAAGGATCCGCGAAGCAATTAGGATCACATGTCCAAAGACGAGCATGAGCAAGTCAAGGATGATCCAAGCAGTGCCAAAGGATCACATTTTCAAACCTTCCATTTTTCAACTTTTGCCTACAAAGCATGCCAACCTAAAGGGCAATCGAGAGACCATTGCCAACAAGTATGAACAGCATTGGGGAACACATCTACTTGCATACAACAATGCAAACATGGTAGCTATTTTATATAAAAAATCCTAAAAAGACATAGGCAACCTTTTGGGTACAAGACACAATCTTTGGAACAGCCCTCTGACCAAGGGCATCCTATCATTTGGCAGCTTTGAGCACCACCATGGACCTGGGCAAGTCAACCAAACTGCGCCACTATGGCAGCTATGAGCGCCAACACAATGACGTCATTCATGATCACGATTGATCAGAAAGTCTATCTCGACTCAAATCACAGATCAACCACGATCATGATCGATCAAATCAATCAAATGACATCATACTCAGACATGTGACTAGGGACATCACGCCACCTTCCAACGCCACATGATTACATCAGCATAGATTATGTAATAAAGAAAAGATACTGGTCGAGTTTCGAACTTGATCTTCACTCACTCAAGTGGCTTAGGGGTTAAGCCATGGCAATCTGATACGTCAGGACCCGATCGTCTCACAACATAACATGTGCGCGAGTTCAATTCCTCGATGAAAGGGAATCTGCCATGTATTATGTAATAACCTACCCAATCCGCCGTAGCACCGAAGCACGAAGTCATGACTGAAGACAGAAGACCAGGATAAACTGGTATCCAGAGAATGATACCTAGGGGCTGACGCTGCAGTCAAAAACAGCATCTTTTTACAACTATCATGCATTTTGAACGACCTTAGCACATCATTAAACTGTTCAATTTTTGGCAGCTTTGAGCTCCACGAATGACCAAGCGCATGTCTTTAAACTGCAAGCCCTTTTGCACATCATTTTGAGCAACAGAAGCCAATAGCGCTGTCTGTGACATCAGACATCTAGGACCAAGAACTGTTAGCCCCACAAGTGCACCATTTACCTGAGCAAGTCATTAAACTGCATCACCCCTTTTTGCTGCTAGCAAAAGTCTTAGATACCAATCACACAATACACCCTGCCATTCCACCCTGGAAGTCAGAACCTGAAGCGAGGGTACTATTTACCATAGCATTTATTCAGTTCATCCGGAGTCTGAACCTTGAAACGGGGGTAGTGTCACAGTATTAAGTGGCACCTTTCTTTTTGCACCATTAAAGTCCTCTTTTGAGTGGTTATTCGGATGCCAACCTTCATATTGGTCTCGCAACGTGGATACTTGGACAAACAGCACAATGCCACCACATACATCACGGACATGACTGTGTCTACCACATGACCACCAAGCGCCCATGATTCAGCCACCCAGTCACGTGACACTGACCACTTGCCCTATTCGAAAGTTGTCAGGCGTTGGTCACGTGACACCAGGTCACTTGCCCAGAAAGGAACCCATTGGACCATCAAGCTAGCAAGCACCCAATTCGCCACTCAAGATAGTGGCACCACTTTGCTGCCTAAACCAATAGGCAGATACCACAACAGAGGATCCCCCTACCAACCGGCATACAGTATAGCCAGGTACAGGATAGGCTAGATCTTCTCACAACCCTATCCAGATGAAGACTGATCGTCACACTCATTGTTCTGAGTTTGGACAGATCCTCTCATCTGATGTTGCAACCATTGTGATGTGCTCTGTTGGCCATCACCCATTGGCCCCTCAACAGTGGGCCCACTTACAGGCATTTATCTCATTGGATTAGATAGGATTACCTCGGCGTATCCACGGCCATTGTAGATAGTTGCTATGACGAAGTCCAGAACCATTACCGGTTCTGGCAATATGTTCACATGTAGGTATCTGAGGTCTCACAGTAGCACAGTGCCAGGGGCCCTGCCCTACATGTATATAAGCCCATGAGGATCTAAGGGAGGACCTTAGATTCATTATTCTATTGCATGCGGCCTAACAAGCCAATTCACCCCCTAGTTGTGAGCATAAGGCTAAGGGCCCTTTGAGCCCCATTTTCAGACTGCATACCACTGCGCGCGTCCTCAGCCTAGCCCTTGTGGCAGGCTTTTTATGTGAGATCATTTGTGCAGGTCACAAAAGCAGACTTGCCCTTAATTGGGTTAAGTGCTTTGGTGCTTTGTGACAAATGTTCGATATAATGCCATTGTTGATTGTATATTTTCTTCGAAAATTAGACATGGTAGAATGAAATGAACCAGACGTCAAATGCAGAACTTGGCCTGTCGATTGTGTGAGTGAGACAGTACAATGTGACTTTGTGAGGAGGACACGTGTCTCTTTACATGCTGTAGGTTAAACTTCACTTTGACAGCATGTTCTGGGGCTTTCTTCATCACTTATGTTGACCCATGTAGCAGCGGTACAAGCCAAATTAACATTTTTCATATCATTGATGACATTGTTTTAGTAGATCGGGTCTAGGAAATCATGGTGCGGCAAGGGTGTTAGCCAGCCAGCACCTTCCCATCTCATAGGCACAAAGGGAGTGAGGGGCTAGTGAGGCCACAAATGACTGGGGAATACAGTAGTACAGATGCATACTTATACATTTTCTGCCACTTCTGTACTCGCCTGCTCTGTTTCCAGATACCACCCTGTGACACATTTCAGCCATCGCTTGGTGCTTGTTTCTCCTGACGTGTTGAGTGCATTTCACCAGAAGTGCCATTGGTCGGCCACTTCCAACAATCAGCTCACTGTGTGCAACTATTCGACCAGTTACACAGGCCTGTAAGTTGGATTGTGCAAATATTGATACATTATTGAACACAATAAGTCATTAATGCTCGCAGCGGTACATGGATAGTCAGCAATCACAGATGATACATCAGTTGCTGCCATATATGAAAGGTCGAATGTGATTGTGGATGCCATAGCTGAGCAGAGACGGTCACCGAATTGTCAAGTCCTCATGGGACAGTATGCACATGGTGTTGGACAACTGGTGCTGTTGCTGTTGTGTGAGTGGTGTTGTGTGAGTACCTCATTTATAAGCAAAGACTGTCACACATGGTGGTGATGACAAGTGAGAGCTGGACAGTCAGAAATTCAGGTTGCTAAATTTGAAAATGCAGCTCAACAAGAAGAGAAGAAGGCAGGATGTGGATGAGGGTAAGGATGAAAGTCTCAGAGCTATACATCCTTAACAAAGAGCAAGTAAGGCTCCAACTATTTATACTATTTACACTCCTGAGGTGTAAATAAATAGTATATAGTAAATAGTTGTATATATATTATATAAACAGTTTACATAAAGTTTATGTAGTTTTTTTGGTCCCATCTTTTGGTGGAGTTCTACTCAATTGTGAGCAGCCTCTGTGATTGTTGAGGCTTTCAAGGAGCTGTGTGCATTAGCATACACATGACAGTGAGCAGAAAACCAGCATTTAATGTTGACACTTTCACCAGGAATGACAAGAAACTCATATTCATGAGCCTATATTATGATCAACTGTCAGTGATAGCTTTTGTCAAACACTAGACTTTCAATTGGCTCACTGTTGTGCTATCAAATCTAGCAATTGTGCACTCAATAGCCTTATATCATCATAAAACTATTTAAACTATATATATATACATTTATGTACTATGTATGTACAGATTCAACTATAAATAAACATATATAGTAAACAGTTAAAACTATTTAGCATAGTATATAGATAAAAATGTTGGGGCCACAAGAGCAAGCCATTGCTGATATCATGAGAAATATTGCAATATATAAGACCTGTCACAGATTAAACCATACACGTGACATGTAAAACCTGCAGAGTGACTGCATATATAGTCGGAACCTAGTGCTAAGCCAAGCTTAGCATTACCAGCCTTTTGGCGAAGTGGTTAATCGTCATAATTGGTATTGGTTCATA